GCCAAAACATGTAGCAAGTATCTTTGGCTCGCTGTTGCAGCCGCAACAACAACAATAACAACAACGGCAACTGCAACATCAACTGGTGTGTATATTTTTAGACATTACGTTGCGCTTGCGTTGTTTAAAAATAGTTGCGCCCCAGTCGCCACAAGCTAAGTGTGTATGTTGTTGTTGTTGTAGTAAAAGGCTGCGCAGTCGCAACGCATTTGATTTTGGCTTTGGCTTTGTGCAGCCAGGCAGCTCTCCATAGACAGACAGGGAGACCAACCACATCTATAAATATCGCTACGCTTTTTCTAGAACAATTTTTCATGTTAGGCCGCTGCGTTTATTTGCCGTGTAATCAGGGTGTTGCTTCTACATGAACATAATATATTGATATTGATATGTCTGGTCGAGCAGAACTTATTACAATTGGCAGTTGAGCACATAACAAGGCACGAGATATGTTGTCTATTTACTCATAAATACTCTCACGTACTTATAACTACTCTCATATGCACGCATCGTCTGCGTACACTCGCAAAAAATTGTGCTGCTTGTGAGTACCTGGTACTAGGCATAAGAAGAAACATATGAAACTAAAATAAATTTTGACCATAATCTTAAATGCTTGATTATACTCGTAAAGGTCTTTTAGTTCTGATGAGTACTCGTAAATGCTCGCAATTACTCGTTAATACGCTTAGTAAGAAATCGTAATTATCAGAAATTATTCTTAAATGAGTACTCGCAAGTACTCGGAAGTACTTGCGCATACTTTATGTACTCGAAAATGCTTGGAAGTACTCTCATATGTTTGTACTCATAAATACTCTCGTATACTCACATATAATCACCTTTAGCAGTCTGTTAACTACTTCTAAGCTATACTATATGAAAACGGAAGTTTTTCCTGAATTCCAAAACATTTTTCCCAAGTTACCAATATTTTTTTTGCCTGCAATAGTTTCCCATAACCAAGTTCTGCGTGTCTAGAGTCTATTGAATTGCAAAAGTCTCGAATTCCAATGCCGCAGCTTAGCTTTATGTCGTCTATAGCCAGCGGTGGTGCTGTGTTGCGACGGTTTGTGGTTTCGTTTCACATTAACCGCCTAACCAGAAAAAGAGAAGCACCATGGCAGCTGCAACGGGCCAAAAGGATGCGTATGTGCATCCAGCCAAACAGTGTGTAATTAAAGTGTTGCATATTTATGAAAGTCATGCAGGCACACACAAATTGACACAAACACACACTCATTTTAAATGGCCAGCTATCGATGTGGTCTATAAATAGGCTAAATGCTATGGCCAGGTTAACTGGATGGTGCTAAAGCAAAATGTATGCGCCTTAATGGCGTCTAATAAATGCTCATTGGCATAATAGACACGTGCTCCAAACTGGCATATGCACATTAATAATGAGTTGATTGATTGACCAATCAAAGTGCTTGCACTTGAGAGTCAACATTCATTCACAAGGAGCTGCTGCCTGTCATCCTGCTGCCCGTTGACGGGCAAATTGCCTTTGTTGCAAAAGCGCTCGTTGATGATGTTGGCAATGGCAGACAACCGTTTGCCCGATGACAACTCCGCAGCATGTGTAATCAAGAAAGCAGCAACAGCAATGGGAAGAAGTTAACACATATAAATTCTGCAAACGGGTCTAACCGACTGCCTAATACCTATTATAAATTAAACAGACTAACTGCCCAAATAGCTAAGATATATAGATTTATTTGATCCTTCCTCCTGGTTGTTTGAATTAATCTCAAGGGGAGTATCTCCAGCTGTGAATCTTTACAGTACGAACTTTGAGACCTTCTGCATTTAAGACTTGATAGTTCCAGCTTTAAAGCTATGTAAGATATAGATTGAACCCTTTCTTCTAATGGACATGGCCATTTATTCGTATATATTCTCAAGTTTATACGAACGCACGAATGAGCACCTGGCAAACAACCAGTATACCCAATCTTCACTTTGTGAACGAGCATAATAAGACTCCCCTAACGCAGCAGACAGCCAATTAAAAGTGCCAGCCAAGTTAAGAGTTGCGTCGAGTTGAAATCGAGTCCGAGTCCGAATGCGAATGCGAGCTCAGGTCCGCAAGTTCTTTTAATGATAGCTTTAAATGGCTTTTGCGCAATCAGATTACTTGCAGTTTTGCCCGTTGAATTCCAGCTAACTAAATTGCTCCAGGCAATAGCAGAAAATACAACAACAGCAAAAAATGGAATAAAAACACGCACTCGACTCGTTCCCAGCACTCTATCTGCCTTCTGCCTCCAACTCCGCCAGGCTGTTTGCATTCTAAGCCAAAGTGAAATTCAATAGAACTGACAAATGCCATTTGCGAGCGGTGCTTGTGCTCCATGAAGCCCATCTAGAATCGCATCCCATTCTGTCTTGCCAGTTGCTGTGCATGTTTCTATACCACGTAACTGTGCCTACTCAAAGGGTATATATGGCTAGCTCAAAAGTCTTACAGTTTCAATTACCAAGCTCTTTTTATAGCAACAGCTCGAGAAGTTCTTAAAAACCAAGAAAAGTTCTACTCAACCCTTTAAATCCAATTTCGGTGTAATATACCCCTTTCATCGGCCAGGATCGAGCTTTATCTGGCCGAGACATCACTCTGATATACTGACTGACTCTCAGCTTCATTAAACTCGCGACTCAATCACTATTAATTAAGTGTTGCCACCTATTTTATAGGCTATCCTTTTGGTATATCACACCCGTGCACTACTTCTTCCCTGGCAGTTAAAGCTAGGCCAGGCTGCCCACACACCTGATCGCACTTCGCACGTTCCCCGGGTGCCAGAGACTGGAGTTGGAAGTTCTCTTTTATGCAAATGCTTTTGTGTTACTTGGGGCATTCCAGGCTATTTGGTTATTTCTGTGCATGCACAAGAGCCTGTTGCCTTGGTATTTGTGTGCACATGTGAGCATGTCCTTGTGCACAAAATTTTTATTTTCACTTTTTGTTTTCGCCACGTTTTAAGACTCAACACTCCCCTTACCAGTTGCCGAAGTCTGTGTCGTTGTTTGTGGCTGTCGCATCCATTGAAATGAAAAGTTTTGTACGTCCGGAAAATGCTTTCTGCTGCTGCTGCTGCTGCTGATGAGTTTTCTTTATCGCATTGACGCCAACATCTGCTGCTGGGCAGCGAAACCGAGAGGGACGCATACAAAAAATACAACCGCAATTCAATGTTTAGACAAAAGATCGCAAATGGCTTCGTTTCTACACATAACCCACATAAAAGTTGACTCATCTACAATGTGTTATATATACCTATACATATGCAAATGTGTGTGTCAATTATTGTAATGCAACTGTCAGATACATATTTTTTGTGCATATATGCATGAGTATATGTGTGTATTATATTTTTACAACACATTTTACATGCATTTTTATGATATGGCACATTTTGATCCAAGATTTTGTCATCTCTTTAACACTCTGTTGTCACGAACTTCAAAAATGTGAATTGGTTTCGTTACGGTTCGATTATATAACAAAAATCATTTTTTTAATTGTATCTACAGTTGCCCGATGAAACAGCATAAAAGGCAAATAGAGATAAAAAGAGAGAGAGAGAGAGTGGTGAAGAGAAATAAACTCAATCACAATAGCAGCTAGTTTATTAAGGTCAATGTTAATGCCAGACAAGATACATTTGACAGCTACTTTTAACAAATACAATCATGTTATTTGACACTTTGGTGTATTTATCATGAGACTGTTAAGTGTTTAAAGGGGATTTTCACCTAAAAAAACGATCTGAGATCTGAGAAGAGAGAAGAGAGTTCTATAGGATGGAGTTTTAAAAAAATTCCAGCAAAAAAAGTTGGGAAACGGTGGACGAAGTTCTTGGAAAAACAATCAACAATAAAGCAGTCAAGCGTCACGTGGAAATATTGTGTGCCTTAGAGGTCTGACTGTTGAACTAGCAAGTGTCAGGTCGCTGGTTCAAATCCAGAAGTAATTAGCCATAAATATACGTGTGTTGCGAGCTTTAAAAGCTTTGCATAACTCTGAACTGAGCTGGAATTATACAAACAATTTCTTTACCACTTGCATCATCAGCATTAATTAATTAAACCAGGCAAAGCCGCTTAATTTCTTGTAGTACTTGTGCTGTTGATAGTTAAAAATATCATTTCATATAACTTAAGAATTTTATAGTTCATTCGAGTGCCATAAATTAATCAATATTTTTTAAGGCAAATGGAACTCTCAACAATTCAGCTTAATTTTCAGATAAATCCAACTAGATAATGGCACACACAAATCGCGGTAACACTTCACATAAATATTAAAAACTGAAAGAAAAAAATAAAATAAGAAAAAACTTCAAGCAATTTCCGCAATTTTAGATTCGGAAGCGCAATTAAAGTTGAATTTAAAATGCTCGCTAAATGCATAAATAAAATAAATTTGTCGCTAAGAAAGAAAAAAAAAACTGAGTGAAAAAAAGCAAGTGGTGCATAGTATAAAATTGTTGCATAAATTACAAAACATTTGCAATAATTTAAAACAACAAAAAAGTGGTTAATAATTGACAAAAAAGGAAGATAATTTAAATAAATTGTGCACGTTTCAGATTAAACTAATTGCATAATAATTTAATTACACGCCGGAAAAAAACAAAAACGCAGTTAAAAATTACGCTATGAAATACATCTGAATATTAAAAATAGAATAAAACACGTTCCACAAAGCTGATACAGTAGCTAAAGCCCAGTAAATTACTCAATCCAGGTGCAGCTGGGTTGTGGCAGAGGTGTGTGAGGGGGCGGGGAGAGAGGCAACACCCACGCACGTGCCTCCTTCTGTGCCCGAACTGCATTGATATGAAATTTGTTGTTATAGCCTCGCTTTAGCAGTTTCCTTAATAAAACCTACAATTTTACGACTAGCTTTTAACTTGATTTTATGTGTGCATTTACATATAAATATATTTCGCTAACGACAATTTCCTTTTGTATTTTAATTGTGATTGCAGTTGGTACTTCCGCAAAATCAAACGCATTGAGGCTGAGAAAAAATTGCTACTGCCGGAGAACGAGCACGGCGCATTTTTAATACGCGATTCCGAGAGCCGTCACAATGACTACTCGCTATCAGGTGGGTGGGCTATAAATGGCATGCGTAATGCCATTCTACTCTTTGAATTACAATGCATATACTATAACGAAAAATATATATATATATATATACATACATATGTATGTCTAATTTGCAGTTCGCGATGGCGATACAGTTAAACATTACCGCATCAGACAATTGGATGAGGGCGGCTTCTTCATTGCCAGACGCACAACATTCAGGTTAGTTTACAAATACGCTTTTAATCCCCCCTCCGCTAATTTACTCTCGTCTATATTTAACTTTAAACAGAACGCTACAAGAGCTTGTCGAGCACTATTCCAAGGATTCGGATGGCCTGTGCGTCAATCTCTGCAAACCGTGTGTACAGGTAAGCCATAAGTATTCCGTATTATGCCGTATATTCATGGTATTAGCTTTTGTTTATTCGTACATGCATTTTAACATGCACATAACATTCATCTAAGATTACGTTTTGCTAACATTAACATGACATTTTACATTTAACATTTTCATTATGATTTCTCATTATTTACATAAAAACTTAACGGAAACGATTTTAAAATATTTTTTTTTGTTGTATTTTTTCCTTTAATTAATATACTAACGATATTATGAAAAAAATACTAACAAATAAAAGACAAATACATTTACGGGTATTTTTGAGGTAGGATTTTGTACTTAAACATAAACGTTAATGTGTGTGTGCGTATGCGTGTGTGTTTCTTTGCCACAGCCAAAAAAAAAAACACCATCACGCCAAAATTTATACCAAAAAAAACCCATTCATTTTATTTAATTCATGAATAGCCAAAGTACAAAGTGCAATTAAATGCAAAAGAAAAAATCCCAAAACAAATTATTCAAAATTAATGCCAGTTAATTTTGGGATCATAATTTCAATCAATTTAAGATATTTATATGGATATAACAATTTTTAAGTCAGTTATAAAAGTCTGCACTAAAACCAGTTGAGACTTATAAGCTGGCAATTGTAAATAAACACCCTTACGCTTGCAGCTGCGCAATCCTTGCCTAAAAACTTTGTCTAATTTGTTGTAGGCATTTTCAAGCTTACGCCAGACTCTACTTATAAATATAATTAACTTTAGTATAATTTATATACTTTGTGTATATTATCTTGCTTCATCGAGTGTACATATATGAGCTTTGTATTTGGTGCAACTGCCAAATCGCGTGTCTAATTTATGCAGAAAACAAAACAAAAATGCAAAAAAAAAAAACACAAAACTCTGCGAAGGGCATGCAAACAATTTCAAGTAATGCACTTTCAAATTTACAACGCCCCGTGAGTCAGCGTGTTCGGCTTAAACAATGCAAACATTTGATTAAATGCACTTTGACTTTGGCTAAAGGCCAACACACAATTATAACAATAACAGCAGCCAAATTACAACATAAATTGCTCTTTTAGCAACTCCTTCGCTCTTCAATACGACTAAAAATCATATTTTGTATATAATGCCTAAATATATGCCACATTTACAACCGATTCTCAATTGGCACCTTCATTGAAACGAGCCCAAAAGCACACACCATATCTAAACAATTAGCTCCTACAAATATATAGCATTTATTTATGTTTGTAAAACTAATGAATTTGTACTCTATCGCAGATTGAAAAACCTGTCACCGAGGGCCTATCGCATCGAACACGCGATCAATGGGAAATCGACAGAACTTCGTTAAAATTCGTACGCAAACTGGGCTCCGGACAGTTTGGAGACGTCTGGGAGGGACTATGGAATAATACAACGCCCGTGGCTATCAAAACCCTCAAGTCGGGTAAGTCAAATGAGATTCTTGATCGAAATATACCCAAAAATTCAAATGGGAAACTTTCCTATCCGATTTTCATACCGGAATTAAATATTGAAATAGTGACCTTCGAATTTGAATCAAAATCTTCATATTTTCTTAAATACCTAATTTTTTTCTTCTCTAATTAAAAATGTATATATCTTATTTTGTCTTGATCCAAATATGATCCAAATATGCTATAAAATTTAAATGGGAAATCGCTTTTTATCGATTTCTTGAAAATGGAGCAAATTATCGATTATCGGGAACTAGAAGGATCTACGATAGACAGATAGATAGACAGACAGAGGGACATGGCTAGGTTGACTTAGTTATTAATGCTGATCAAGAATATATATCATTTATAGGGTCGCAGATGCTTCCTTCTGCCTGTTACATACATTTGCAAAAAACCATTTCCATTGGATACAGTGTATAAAAGAACATTTTTTTGAACTTGTTCTTAGCTTCCTTCTGCTAGCACCTTAATGTGAAAACTGCTTTTAAAGAACATTTTATCTAGCTTATAACATTTCTCAAATTCCGACTTGCAGGCACAATGGATCCCAAGGACTTCTTGGCCGAGGCTCAAATAATGAAGAAACTACGCCACACCAAGCTCATACAGCTATATGCGGTCTGCACCGTCGAAGAGCCCATCTATATTATAACAGAGCTCATGAAGCATGGTTCCCTATTGGAATATCTGCAAGGTATGTCGGGATATGGGTCACAAAATTGACTAACACAGCATTTGATTCATGAACGCCTCTCGACAAACGCTTTATCAATCCATCGTGTCATTAAATAGTTCTGATGTATGTGTTTTTAATATCTTTTAGCAATTGCAGGCAAATGTCGTAGCATCAAAATGCAAACGCTGATCGATATGGCTGCCCAAATAGCCGCTGGCATGGCCTATTTGGAATCGCAGAACTATATACACAGAGATTTGGCGGCGCGTAATGTTCTCGTTGGCGATGGGAATATCGTAAAGATTGCCGATTTCGGTTTGGCACGGTAACTACAACGAATTCAAAATTAAATTTCAATTGTAATTTGAATCTAATCAAATTTTATTTGCCATCATCAAGACTAATCAAGGAGGATGAATACGAGGCACGCGTGGGCGCACGCTTCCCCATTAAATGGACAGCGCCAGAGGCGGCCAATTATAGTAAATTCTCAATTAAATCGGATGTGTGGAGCTTTGGCATTTTACTCACCGAACTGGTCACCTACGGACGCATACCCTATCCAGGTGGATAAAATATAATCAATTTATATTTTCAATACTTAAATTCGTCTATTCCCTCCCCTTTTGTTAGGCATGACCAATGCCGAAGTATTAACCCAGGTGGAGCACGGCTATCGTATGCCCATGCCGCCCAATTGTGAACAGCGTCTGTACGAGATTATGCTGGAGTGCTGGCACAAGGATCCGATGCGCAGACCCACATTCGAAACCTTGCAATGGAAGCTCGAGGACTTCTATACATCCGATCAGAGTGACTATAAGGAGGCGCAGGCCTACTGATAAATGCTTTATGCGCCCGCTGCCAAACATTGGCAAACTGGCTGCAACAGAGTGGCGCCCGGCGCTGCAGCCAGCCAAGCGGAGCAGACCAACAACAGCAACAACAACAAGAAGAAGAACGAAACATAAAGCAAACGTGCGCCGTAAAACAGCAACCCAAAACGGACAATTCTTATTTAATTACTTATTTCAGTTTTGCACACATTTTCTATGGCATCATAAAGAAACAAAGGAAAGGCAAATATGTAATCCCACGCTCCACCAAGAGCTGAGTGTACGTCTAGATATCAATATATATATATATATATTGAGATATCTATATATATATACAAACATATATAAATATATAGGAATTACATGTTATTAGCGTTTAAGGCAGGAGGATTTTAGTGTTTAGGGCAGGCGGATTGCAGTGTGCTAAGAATGAAAGTATATATATATATAAATAGATATATATACATATTTATATATATATATATAAAAAATTATATGTATGTGTATTAATATTTGTATTTTTGATTTCAAAACACTTCTTTTGTTTCATAAAACGCATGTACATTTATATAGCTGTGTATGTAACATATATCGTCATGATTTATTCAATCGAGCGCTATTCTAGAACGCTGATTTATATAAAGTGCATATATCTATATAACAGATGTATTACTAATCATATGGCGCACGCATACATATACATATAGTTCACATATATATATATATATATATATACGAAACGCATAAAGTCACAGTTTTTTATAGGATCTTTATATGCATATTTGTTCTTTTTAGTTATTTAGCCATTATAAACGATATTTAAATACTTATATATTTATGCTTTTAGTTAAAAACATTACGTGTCTTACCTTACAAACACACACATATACACACATACACACACATACACACACACACACACACACACACGCACACACACTCAACATAATCAACGACATATATGCTTTATCTTTATCGTATAATCGTAAAAAGCAAAACAAAAAACAAAAATGAAAAAAGAAAGTAAATGTAAAACGATTAAAAGTAATTAATAATGCAATGCAATAAAGTAAACTCCATATTATTAATGTTATACATTTTAATTGTAATTTTTAACCATTAAATTAAACGCATTCAAACACGAATTCATGTACATTTAGTGAACAAAAACATCAAAATAAAAATTTATTATCTTAATTTATATAAACAAGAAAAAACAACCAAAATAGTCATTGCTAAGGTTTCAATTTTGATTTTTCAGTTTTTGTAGCTCATGTTTTTATATTGGTGAGTATTATTTTGATTATTGATAACACACTTTTGTTTTTATTTGTCTTTTGACTGAAGTGCAATAACCTGCTTATACTTACAATAAATTTCGAGCCCAACTAAGTTAAATACCTATACTACGTATATATCTTAAACAAGAAAGCATGAATTGAAGGCTGATTTTATAATGCTAACCCTAGTACTTATGTTTTCTTATCTAGTATGTATTCAAATGATTTGCCACTATGCGTTTTGCTTCTACCTACAATGCACAAAGTATATAAACATTAACAAAAGCAACTGTAATCAAAAAACAAATAAGTAGAAAACTTTTTCAAACTGTACTCAAATCGAATTATTCAACAAACCGATTTTTTTTTTTTTTAAACAATTTATGCAGAACTGTCACAACTTAATTGTAACTAGAAAACTGTCTTTAAAAAAATATATATGTGTTTAAACAATATACATGTATAACGATTGCAATATAATAAGTTTGATCAAATCATATGCGTATATGTAACAACTTTTGAACTATAAATTGTGAAATATATACGCAAGAAATTGACAATTTCGATGATATAATAAAGCGAGCATATATAAACATAGACGCATATATATATGGCTGTCTATATATATGCATATATATATATATATATATAATTAAGTTTTACACGTTAGGTTACTATAAAAAAATATATTTCAATTTATTATTTTCACTTAACGGCTACTTTTGTTGAGTACATTCAGATTTGCTTCCCGAATATGAACTGATTTATCTAACTGTTGCGGTCGCTTAGCAAACTTCGCTTTGAGAGAGTTTGAGTCAAAATTGAGTGAAGTTTGAGCTGCGTCAGCAATTATGCGTGGGATAGTACTCTGATGGGAACATTGACAGTGGCGTGATATTTAGGGTGAATTGTTTATGTCTACCAAAGGGGGACAGTTTGATCTTGACCAATGTCGATGTTATCACCAGGCTCTTTGTTTACAATATTAGAAATGTTTATAATTGTGCTTATGCTTATGTGCTAAGATATGTTAAAGGGTGGGTGCGACTATGGATATGTCACTCCCCCAACCATTAGAAAAGTGCCTGTCCTCAGGTGTTTAAGTTTGGATATAGTGTAACATTTTCTTCTTTTACAATTGGTATATCTCCTATTATTGTAGGTGTTTCTTCTACTTTGGGTTTTTTATATTTTATAATTAATTTCTTAGGTATGCTTTTGAACTTATATGTCAAATACAGTGTTAAACTTATTAATATGATTACAAATATGGTTATTGTAATTATCTGGAATACATTGTTAAATTTTGTATGTGCATTTATAATTTGTTTCGTTTGTACAAACGAAAGTGGTTCTAATTTTATAACATCATTGCTTACGTAAATGCTTTGAGTATAATCTAACATATTGTTTGAAATTGAAATTTCATTAATTTGCAATGAACAATTAAAGATTTTTATTATATTGTTTCCTTCTATTGTTATTTCGTTATTTATACAATTATGGTTTAATATAGTTTTTGGTAAATTCCAAGTTAAAATTATATTTGGTTCTATGTAGTTGATTTGAAAATTTTGCAAAATTTTAGTATAACTACATTCTGATGTTATTTGGTTTAAAATTCCTGTTAAACATTCATTATTAATTAATTTTTTTGTTTCTCTGCTATAAACTTTTTTATCTTGGGTAAAATATTTTTCATGAGCTATTTCTGTCAAAATATTATTATTTTCATCCGGGTATGGAATTATTTCGAATACCGGGCTTTTTATTATTTCTCGAGGAATATGGGATATTATCAGTATTTCGTTTGTATCTGATTTAAACCAAGTGGAAGTTTTTGTATTCAACAATTTCTCAGAATTAACATGCAACAAATAGTCATGTTTTAGTAATTTTGGGTTAAAAATTCCTAATCTTGTGAGCTGCATTCCCATCTCAATGTCTTCTATATATTCTGTAAAGTGTTGTAAGTTAAATATAAGGATATCTAATTTCTTTCCTTTTTGTTTCTCTTGATCTAGTTCGTTCATGATTTCTATTCCTTTGTTTATAGCTTCTATTATGTAATTTAATTCGTTAACCTGAACGCTGTTTTCTGCTAAGTTGCTTATTTTTTGTTCAATTTCTGCTTTGTCTTCTTGATCTAATGTTCCAAATAAGTATTTATATGCTGTTCCTACTATGTTAACTAAACCTCTTTTGCTGCGTTTGGCTATTTTTAAGCCGTTTATTTCTCTGTTTAATTTTTCTACTAGGTATTCGATTTGTATAAGGTTATTGAATTCTTTACTTTGTTCAATTAAATTGTTAAAAGTTTCTTCGGTTTTTGTTGAGGTTATTTATTAGTTTTTCTTTATTAGCTTGAGTGTCATACTCTGGTGTACCTGCATATATGAATATGTCCGCTGGTGTTCTGTTAGTCGTTTTGTGCTTTGTTTTATGATTGTACGTGTAGAGTATAGTTTCAAATTTTGTAAGTTTATTTTCGACGTCTGAGTCGCTGTTAATGATTCTTAGTTTTTCGTTAACTGTCTTATGAAATCGTTCTACGTCGGATATACCGTTTTTACTAGTGGTTATATTAATATTTACTGCTTCTGATTTTAGCCATAATTGTAAAGCTGTGCACATAAAAGCTGAGTCTTTGTCTGCCTTTATTTCGATGGGTTTACCCATTTGGTTGAACACTTGTAATATAGCTCGTTTGGTTTCTAGCCAGTCTCTACTTTTTATTTCTATTAATGATGCAAATTTTGAATAGATATCAATGCAAGATAAAAATTGTTTATCTCCTACTATGTAAAAATCCATTACATATTTTTCTCGGATATTAGCGATTTCCGGAGTTATTTCGAAAGTTAATTTTGTATCTCTGTGTTCTGTTTTTGCGATGTTGCAAATCTCACATTCATTTATTAGATTTTGAATTAGATTTTGATAATCTGGGAAATAGTGGGTTTCTTTGAACCAATTGATAGTTTTTTCAATTCCTGGATGTAATAATTCTTTGTGCTTTTTTAATATTAATTCTTTGAATTCTGCGTATGTTTGAAGGTCTATTAATTTTGTACTAGTTTTCATTGCCTTTGTTGAATTATTCGGACTTATTATTTCTAAGTAGGCTTCTTGAAAAATTGGAAAATCTGCTTCGTTGTGGAAGTATAGCACACTTTTCTTTGTGCATAAGTATTCTTTTATTAATTCTTTGGCATGCGTATTAGTCATGTCTTTGTACGTAATTTTTATGTTGGTTTTGTGAAAGTAATTCGTAACTTTTGTTTCGTTCTCGGTTCCTTTTTCAAATTCTATTTGTCGATTATAATAATTAAGTGGTCTTTCTGTGATTTGTAAATGGTTACTGTTGTCTTCTTGAGCACTATGTATTGTTGCTCTTGTGCTAATTGTATCTTCGCCTAAGAAGTTTTCGTTTAATTGAATTCTGGACAGAGCATCTGCCACATAATTTTCTTTTCCTGGGACGTATTTAATTTGGAAATCAAACTCATTTAGCTTGATCTTCCACCTTTGTAATTTCATGTTAGGTTCTTTCATATTATTTAACCAGACGAGTGGTCTGTGATCACTAAGGATTTGAAATTGTCGACCAAAGAGATAGGACCTAAAGTATTTAGTGGCCCAAACGATTGCTAATAATTCTTTTTCAATCGTTGAATAATTTAACTCATGCTCGTTGAGAGTTCTACTTGCATAGCATATAGGCTTATGCTCTTGCGAAAGGACGGCCCCTATTGCCATATTACTCGCGTCTGTAGTTAATGAAAATGGTTTTTCGAAGTTAGGGTATATTAAAATTGGGTCGGATGTTATGAGTACTTTTAGCTTTTCAAACGCTAGCTCGTAGTCTCTGTCTTTTATATTGATTTTTGCTCCCTTTTTTAATTTAAGTGTTAATGGTTTTACTATATTAGCGAAATTTGGTATAAATTTCCTATAGAAACCACATAATCCTAGAAATGATTTAATTTCTTTTGGGGTTTTTGGAATTGGGAATTTGACAATTGCTTGTATCTTGTTGGGATTTGGTTTTATACCCTCAGTTGTGATGATGTGACCGAGAAATTCAGTTTCTTTTCTCATAAACTCGCATTTATCCAACTGTAGTTTTAAGTTAGCTTCTCTAAGCTTCTTAAATACCTTTTGTAGCGACAAAATGTGTTCCTCCAATGAAGTGGAAAAAATAATAATGTCGTCTAAGTAGACCAGACAATCTTTAAAAATTAAATCTTCTAAGAGATTGTTCATACAACGTTGGAACGTTGCAGGTGCATTCTTAAGACCAAATGGCATGCGAGTGTACTCGTAATGGCCATGTTTAGTCGAAAATGCGGTCTTGGGTATTGAACCAGGATCCATTTGGATTTGGTGGAAGCCTTTGGCTAGATCAATGGTTGTGAAATATTGACATTTTCCAAGTTTGTCTAATATTTCATCCATGATCGGGATAGGGTATTTATCATTAATAGTTAGTTCATTGAGATTGCGGTAATCTATGACTAACCGGAATTTTTGCTTTCCAGATGCATCGTTTTTCTTTGGAACGATTATTACTGGTGAGCAGTAAGGGGATTTGGATTTACGTATGATATTTTGTTTTATCATATCGCTTATTTGTTTATTTACTTCCTCATCGTATATTTGAGGATATTTGTATGGACGCTTGTAAATTGGGTCCTCATGTTTCGTTAGAATTTTGTGTTTAATTGTACTAGTGAAAGTCAAATTGTCACCTTCATGGTACTGGATATCACGAAATTCATGTAAAACTTTTTTTATTTTTTCTTTTTCTTCTGAGTTTAGGTGCTCTAGCCTAAACTCATTGTTTTCTATTAATTCATTATTAATAGCGAAGTTAAATGGTCTGTCCTCTGTTGAGGGTGGATCAAGGCACTCTTGTGCGGTCATGTCCTCTTCGACCTCTTCGTCATTATATCTAAAACAAAAGTTAAATTCTCCTAAGGTTACGGATCCTTGTGCATAGTCTATTTTTGCTTGACATGCCTCAAGGTATTCTCTCCCAATCAGAACATCATAATGCTCTGAGAAGTCGTGAATATAGAATTTTTGTTTGCTCGGACAAATTTTGCTTGCTCCTAATCGTATACTTTGTTTTAATTCAATAACACCATTTATGGTGTGAACCTTTAATGTTTCGTTGTAAACTGGAAAATTTAAGCGGTTTGTTTTCATTAGATTTATGGTTGAACCTGTGTCGATGACACATTTTAGAACTTCGTCATTCATAATCAATTTTATGAATGGATTTCTTCTGTTTGTTCCGAGGCTTGCTGATGAAAATTTTCGGATGTATCCATTTTCATCTGCCCACTGTTACTATCTCTTTGACGTTTAGTCGGAGGGTTTGGTGCATTCAAGCGTGAATGGGACTGATTTTGGTAGTTTAAGGGATTTTGGTATCTACCTTGACTTAATTTCTGTTGGAACTCGTGGTGAGCTTTCTGATTGTCTTCGGACTTATTATGCTGTTTATTTTGTGCGTGATAACTCTGATTCGTGTTGGAATAGCCACTTGAAATGGTGGTTGGGTTAGCATTTTGCTGATAATTTCCCATGTTCCTACGATTGTTATTTGGATTTCCCTGAACATTATTATTTTTAGGTTTTTCAGTAACGCTATTTTCATATAATCCCTCTCTTTGAGCTACTTGCTTTAGTTTTTGTGTCGACGTAATGTCGTGTCTGGCTAACATCATGAAAAGCCTATCTGGTAATTTTTTTGTAATAACATCTTTGATTGTGTTATTCATAGCATTTGTATAAAGGGTTGTATTGCTAGGTATATTTTCTAGTGCTAACTTATTTAAAATAACAAAAGATTTATTCTCGAGCTCCTCGATGAACTTACGGACGTTTCCTTGGTAATTCGTGTTGTATAAGCGTCGAAGGAGTTCTTCAAATGGTGTCTGCACTTTGTATTCTTCAATCAATGCGTTTCTCAGCTCCTGCCAAGTGTTGGCTGCTGTCCTTTGTGATATTCTCTGAGCATCTCCTGTGACTTGCAATTCGATGGCTCCGTATAAGATGCTATGTTGTCTAACATCTCGGGTTGGATACAGGTGTAGGATGTAATCTATCCTTTTAATGAAGGCGTTTAGTTGATCCGTTGATCCGTCAAAGCTTGGCACCTGTCTAAGTTGTGAAAGGGCCTGGTTGAGGTGTTGTTCTGATAATTCCATTGTCATCTTGGTGTAATACACTTTTTTTTGAATAGTTTTGAGTTTGTAGGTTTGAACTTTATTGTTCTTTGATTTTGCACTTTTATTTTAAGTTAAAGTTTGTGATGGATTATTGTGTAAATGTTTTTTTTTTTTTTTGTGTGTGTGTCTTAAAAAGACTCAGTAATAACGTATTGCAGGGATCAAACGATATGCAAAGCCAGTCGTTATTAACTGTAGTAGCTTTATTGCCCAAAGGGTCAATATTATTAAGCTACTAATGACCCGAAGGTTCTTGTGCGGATACGTATTCGAGAAAATTTTTATTACACTCCGACAACACTTTCGGTCGCGATTGTGCGTTAGATCTGGGAATTAATTATCCTTTAGCGATCTTTAATTTTTCCCGACGTATCCTACCGGCTGCGCCAATTAAGTTTTACACGTTAGGTTACTATAAAAAAATATATTTCAATTTATTATTTTCACTTAACGGCTACTTTTGTTGAGTACATTCAGATTTGCTTCCCGAATATGAACTGATTTATCTAACTGTTGCGGTCGCTTAGCAAACTTCGCTTTGAGAGAGTTTGAGTCAAAATTGAGTGAAGTTTGAGCTGCGTCAGCAATTATGCGTGGGATAGTACTCTGATGGGAACATTGACAGTGGCGTGATATTTAGGGTGAATTGTTTATGTCTACCAAAGGGGGACAGTTTGATCTTGACCAATGTCGATGTTATCACCAGGCTCTTTGTTTACAATATTAGAAATGTTTATAATTGTGCTTATGCTTATGTGCTAAGATATGTTAAAGGGTGGGTGCGACTATGGATATGTCACTATATATATATACAATTTTTTTTAAAGGCCACCGCTTTTGATCTTCCACATATGGGCGTGTGTGAGGTCCCGAACTGGTCAATAATAGTTGATTGAATTTTTGGTCAATGCGAGTTTCTGAACTAAAACAAAACAAAACAAAAAAACACATTGAAAGCCCTGCCTAAAATGTCGTCTGGCAAACCGCACCGCACCACGCCCCGCTCCGTCGCGCTACCCTGACATTGTGGTCAAGCAGGCAAACAAATACACTCACTAGAACTGGCACACACAAAACAATTGCCAATTGATGACGATTCCGTTTTCCAATGTTTGCCGCTGAGTCAGTCGAGCAGCACGCCGCCGACAATCGCTTACTTTTGTCTTGTCGATTAATTCGGGCATAAACTCGGCACATTTGCTGCTAAAAAAGAGGAACACATGATTCTACAATTGTACAGACAGACATGTGCAGGTACATATATGTTTAGCTAGACTGTAATTGTTGCCTTTTAAGGTAAACGGCTGTGTCGACCACAGCTGTTTATTTTTTGTTTTTATTTTTTGTGCTGCCAATCAATCAGGGGTGGGTGGGGGATCGGCTGGGCGGTTCGTCACGCTGATAAGCCGCGGCGAATCATGCCCCGCATATGCAGCAACAGCAGCTACAAAGAATAAGAACAATAATATGTGTAGTTAAGTATATCATTTGTTAATCCAAACACTTCCTGCGAACTGAGCTTTTGTTTATTTTTGGGTTGAAATCGAACATCTTTGGGGCATTAGTAAGCCGCCGCCTTATCGACAGACGCCCGCGCGCTGACAAATCTCATTTGCATTAACTTATGTCTTAGTCATATACAAAATGCCCGCTTAATATGTAATAATACACAAAACAATATGAAAAGTCGTTTAGCCATATTCAGTTCTTCAACGCTTTTTATTGATGTTTCTTATTTTCGCAGCGGTTACAAATGCTTTTTAGTTTAATTTTCTTTTTGTTTGTTTTTATTTTTATTTATTTATTTTTTTTTTGGGTATTTTTGAGTATGTGTAATACATAATAATATATGTAGGGATGCTTGAGAATGTTTAATGTTTAATGCCGAATATGAATAATACATACATATATGCATATATATATTTTTATAATAATACCAATGTGCGTATGAACTCGTGAATTTCGATAGAACACAAAAATATGCTAATTTCTTATGTGTAATATGTGTGTGTGACTATGTGTGTATGTGTGTGGGTGTGGGTGGACGTGTGTATGTGTGCGGTTATATGGTATGAGTTCGTATAAAATTGTTATAAAAAAATGTAGTTTCTCTTTGTTTTTGCTGTTCCTGTTTCTGGTGCTGGTGCATATGTCCTGTCTGTGTGCGTCTGTCTGCCGCCCGGCAATTCTCTCCTTTGTTCTCTAACCTATCCCTTATATGAAAGAGGAAATCAAATGCAATGTTTTTTGTGTGTGTATGAGGCGCAGCGTACACAGACAGGACCACGCCCAACGTCAGCCACAGTGTGTTTGTTTTTGATGTTGCTGTTGTTGTTGTTCTTTATGCTGCTTAGAAGCATTTGCGGTGAACAATGGATGGGCCGGACTCGTCGTACTCCTGCTTGGAAATCCACATCTGCTGGAATGTAGATAGGGAGGCCAAAATAGAGCCACCGATCCAGACGGAATATTTACGCTCTGGTGGCGCCACAATCTTAATCTTCATGGTGGACGGAGCCAGAGCCGTAATCTCCTTCTGCATGCGATCGGCAATGCCTGGATACATGGTGGTGCCACCGGACAAGACAGTGTTGGCATACAGATCCTTGCGGATATCAACATCACACTTCATGATCGAATTGTAGGTAGTCTCGTGAATACCGCATGCCTCCATGCCCAGGAACGAGGGCTGGAAAAGTGACTCGGGACAACGGAAACGCTCGTTGCCAATGGTGATGACCTGTCCGTCAGGCAGCTCATAGGATTTCTCCAACGATGAGCTAGAGGCGGCGGTGGCCATCTCCTGCTCAAAGTCTAGAGCGACATAGCACAGCTTCTCCTTGATGTCGCGCACAATTTCACGCTCAGCGGTGGTGGTGAACGAGTAGCCACGCTCGGTTAGGATCTTCATCAGATAGTCGGTCAAATCGCGACCGGCCAAATCCAGACGCAAAATGGCGTGTGGCAGGGCATAGCCCTCATAGATGGGCACGGTGTGGGTGACACCGTCGCCAGAATCCAAAACGATGCCAGTGGTACGACCGGAGGCGTACAAGGACAACACAGCCTGAATGGCCACATACATGGCTGGAGTATTGAAGGTCTCGAACATAATCTGAGTCATCTTCTCGCGATTGGCCTTGGGATTTAGTGGAGCCTCGGTCAGCAGCACGGGATGCTCCTCGGGAGCCACGCGCAGCTCATTGTAGAATGTGTGATGCCAGATCTTCTCCATGTCATCCCAATTGGTCACGATGCCGTGCTCAATGGGGTATTTAAGAGTCAAGATGCCACGCTTGGACTGCGCCTCATCACCCACATACGAGTCCTTCTGACCCATGCCGACCATCACGCCCTGATGGCGCGGACGGCCGACAATTGATGGAAAAACGGCGCGTGGTGCGTCATCACCGGCAAAGCCGGCTTTGCACATGCCGGAACCGTTATCGACAACCAAAGCGGCAACCTCTTCGTCACACATTTTGCTATTTGGATTGGTTTTGGCTTCTGCAATTGAAGAAAAAGACGAACCAAATATGTACACTCGTATCGGCAAACGGCCTACGACTGCCGTCGCAGCCCAGACTTGAGCTGAGACTCGAGTCGGACACGCACAAAGAAAGACTGAATTTATTACCTTTTAAGGAAATATAAGAGACGAATGAAGTTTTTTTGTTTCAGATTCTCTGAATTTACCGCTGCGCAAACTTTGCACAATGACTGACGCTTCACAATTGAAACGACGCCTACTTTTTTCAAAAGTGGTTGAAATTTGCCGAGCGCACGGCGCTGCCACTCTTTTTAAAAATACTGAAAAAATACCTAAATCAGAAAATGCCTAAATAACGATGTGTATATCGATAAGCAATAAGACACAGCAGCTGCTCAAGCCGCTAAGTGCTTGTTCTTGGCGTTTCTTGTTTGTCATTGGTTCAAATGTGCAATAAATTTGGTTGTTTAGAAAGTAAATTAAGTTAATACGCAGGCGCTTACGATATATTTACATAACCATCGCACATCTCTAGTCTAGCCAGCCAGCCAACCACCATAAGACCACCCACCCGACGATAGCGCCATTGCGACTCATTTGATAGCCGCGCATTTATCAGTCATGGTCGACATTAACTTGGAGTGCGTAAAGTTGATTGAGCCACAGCCAACAACAACCACAGAGCAGCAGCAACAGAAATATCTAGAGGCAGCGCGCATACTGCTTGTCCTGCTCGAGAATGTGCTGAGTCAGCCAAATAACCTCAAGTTTCGCACCATAAACCTGGAGAACAAAGCGATCAAGGAAAAGCTGCTCTCGCTGAAGGGCAGCGAGCGACTGCTCGATGCAATCGGGTTTAAACGCTCGCCAAGCTCCAATGTGTACACTCTGCCCAGCGAAGTGCCGCTGCTGCAGATACAAAAGTACAGAGACGTATTAAATGAGCGGCGCGAGGCCTGGCTAAACGGCTCATTGCCAAAAAGTGAGTAAAATTAATTATGTTACTTCAAAATTAAGCTTAACTTATCATGTCTAGGTCCAATTAAATCCCATGCAACATCACGAGCAGAAATGGCCACCACATGTACCACGCCCCTATATATACAGCCTTCAGTGCCCTACAGACAACGCATTGCCTTTCCACGCATGCTGGTTAGTCTACGAAGCTGACATAAGTGCATTCAGTAATTAGAATTTGCATTTTAAGCGCACGCCCAATCGATTTCTGCAATCCCTGGAGCTCTACAGCGATGCGGTCATGCAGTATGAGGATGAGGCGTTGCTGGCCAGCGGACGCAGTCTCATCCCCGTCGATGAGCTAACAATGAACGCCAGCAGCAAGCTACTTGCCATGCAGGAACTGATTGCATCTGGTCAGTGCCAGGAGAAGGAGCCTTGTATACGCGATCTGCTGCTAGTTGAGCTAGTCGATTGGTTCAAAACGCAGTTCTTCGAGTGGGTCAATAATATACCTTGCCAAGTGTGCGGTAGTGAAGACGGTAAACTGCGTCGCACACAAACCGAGGGTGATGTGCGCGTCGAGGTCACCGTTTGCTGTGGCCAGGAGACCAAATTCCATCGCTACAATGACATTACGCAGCTATTGGTAACCCGAAAGGGGCGCTGCGGCGAGTTTGCCAATTGCTTTACATTCCTGTGCCGGTGTCTGGACTATGATGCACGCCTAGTGCACTCCCATTTCGATCATGTATGGACCGAGGTGTTTTCGGAGACGCAAATGCGCTGGCTGCACGTGGATCCATCGGAAAATGTAGTCAACTCACCGCTCATGTATCAGCATGGCTGGAAGCGCAAAATTGATTATATATTTGCCTATTCGCGGGACGATGCACAGGACGTGACCTGGCGCTATACCAACAATCATCGACAAATATTGCAGCTGCGCAGGCTGTGCTCCGAGAAGGAGCTAATCGAAACGCTGAATGTGATTAGGGCCAAGCGCCAACAATACTCTAGCGCCGAACGCAAAAAATTCCTCAGCCAACGCTACATGTGCGAGGTCCTTGCAATGACCGTGGAACGGTATGCATTAAAATTCAATAATTGCCCTTGTTGTTGTAGTTAAATCTGCTCTTTACGTATTCTATTTAAACTGCGCAGCAAGCCAACTGAGAGCGAGCTGAAGGGTAGAAGCTCGGGCAGCTTGTCGTGGCGACAGTCGCGTGGCGAGCACACATTCACCAACGTAAGTCAGCAGCTGTTGTCGTTAATTGTCTTTGCCTATTTAAACACACGATCTGTGTCATTATTTAATTGCAGATATTCGTATTTACGCCAAATGAACGCGAGCTGGAGCGACGTCAGCTCAATCTACGCTACTGTTGCGCAAGCGATACGTACGAGCGATATATCAAAGGTTTGTTAGCAATTTCTTATCAAATCTACTGATGACCCATTGCTTTCTTTTTATAGATGGCGACCGTTTAGACATACTCGAAACCTACAAGACCTGGCAAAGTGCGCAATTCTCATCGAATAACATATTTCGCAAAGTAGAGCAGGATTGGAAAATGGCCTATTTGGCGCGCCTAGGTAGGCTCTTGATATAACAAGCTATCCCAATTGTATAGCTTAAAACAAATATATGTTTACAGAGGACACGGACAGCGCTGAAATAATTTGGAAATTTAATTTGAGCAAATCAAATCTTAAAGTTAAATCATATAAACTCATATTCGAAACGAAAACCTTTGGCGAGGGCAAAATTAATGTGAGCATGGAAACCAGTGATGGCAATAATTGCATCGAAAACGCCAGTGAATTCCAGATTGTGGCCAAGTTGAGTGGCGTGAATTGGCAGCATACGCAACTCTTCAGACAGAGCCTTAACTCAAGGGAATATCCGTTTGAGTTGCAACTAGTATTGCATTAACGCGAACAATTACCAATTAATTTGTAAATATACCCGACCTACCTCAAGCTTTCCCATTGTAGATGATGTTATTAAAAGGATTTTTAAAAGACAAATGTGGAAGTTATTAGAATAAATTAAGTCCGACTTAAGAATGTTATGTATTTTTGAAATCATCTAATATAAGTCCTAATTTGCCCAAGATATACTGATGAAAGTTTTACAAAAAAAAACCCCGATGGCTCCTAGATAACACATATATCCTTGGTTTATAGTCCTGGTGAAAAATATAAATATATGTATGTATGCTTTTCCTTTAGACAGCTGTTACTTAACAGACCTCTGTAAACAGCTGTGGCTACCGGGGGCGTCGGATTTTGTCGAAAATTCGGCTAAGGGTCCAGGCGAACAGAAATGACCAGCAAGTAGACGAACTAAAATTTTTGTCTTTCAAAAATTTCATACCCAAACGGGGCGCCCGGAGGAGCGGCTGGGTGAGTAGATTTCAACGCAAATTTGACGTGAAGGGCCTTGGTTATATTTTGGCCTGGCAGTGTTGCCAGTAGCAGAGAGCCTTGGGATCGGTTTCATTTTTTTGCTTTTCTTAATCCTGACGGGGCAGTCTTTGTCGGTCGACGCGTGATCACCACCGCAATTGACGCACAGGAAATTTTCACTCGTGCAAAGCAGAGAACCAGTCATATGAGAGCCAGCGCATTTGCCACGGATTGGGTCCCGAAGGCAATAATTTTTGGAATGACCGAAGATGTGGCATCTCAGGCATTGTAGAACTTCTTTTTTGCGAGGAGCACGCTCCACTGAGACTCTGTATCTGCCGAGTTGTGTAATTTTCAAAGCATTAGACACATTGGGTCCTTGTTTTAGATTGACAAAAAATTGATTTTGCCTAGTCTTGTAGTTGATCGTCGCTTCATCGTCTGTCTCGTTGACCTGAACGTTACGCCAATCTGCCTTTCATGGGCAATATATATTGAGAGTTTCGTAACCCTGGTCAGTAAAAGCTTGCGCAATTTGTGGTTTGGGGACGTTGGCATTAACGCCCTTGACGACAACCCTGTAAGGCTTTTCCTCCCTAAGTTGATCGTGCCAGAATTGACAGTTAAGTTTTGTCAAATGTCTTACAGCTGCTCGGAAAGCGTCAGAGTTTGCGGTGTATATCCGTGATACGCCGAACTTAAAGGTGCGAATGCTATAGTTGTTGGCACCCACGCACGAGTCTAGTGCTTGTTCCATGCCTGAGGGATTGTTGACTTGTGGTACACATATTGCTGGAGGCTTTGAGAGCGTTTTTGAGGATTGTTTGTTTCCGTTGCCAACAGCACGAGCTTCATCTTCGTCGTCAGAATCGCTTTCTGACAATCCTTGCTCCATCATGTTGTCCGCTTCTTCGTCCAGAGCTGCAAAACGGTTTTTACTCAGTGCTGCTGCAGTCGAGGTGGATGCCGTGTCTTTGGCTACTTCCTTGTGCAGCTCAGCGGGCTTCGGCTTAGCTTTCTGTATAGATTTAGAAGTGTTTATAATTCCTTTATGTTTTTTACTAGCAGGCAGGCCGCGGTCTTGAAACGAGCACTTCGTCTTACGAGTTGCTGCTGACAAGATTTCACCCAATGTGTTGTCAAGTGACGTAGTCGAGGAAATGTTAGGCCCCACAGTTGCCGCTACAGTATACGTAGATGTAGATGTCAAACTTGCTTGCGACATAGAGATAGTGCAGGTAACGCTGGTATCAAAGCTTGTTGTTACTGTCGGCCCAGTTATCACCCGATTTGACAATAAGCTGTTGTTTTCTGCAGACATGGATGCTACGCTACCGAGGATTTGAGAGCGTAGAGTTTCAGGGCTGACCCTTGCTGCTTTTCTCATCTCCTCTAGGTAGCGACTGATTCCATGAGTTATTGTCCATACCGTCAATTGTTATTATTTAGAGTCAAATAATGCAATTGTCGTCCACTTTTCCAGATCAAAAGATGAGAATTAACGGAACCAACCTCTCGCTTGCGCAGCGCGCAGGGCGAGGGGCAAACTAAGCACCGTTTAAGTCTGGCTTATCTTAGGTAAAGTACCGCAATAAGCTGCCGCCACCGCAAGCAGTGGCCAAAAATAGTGCAAGAAGAGCACAAAGAGATAAGAGGTAAAGAGATTGTGTTGATCACTTGCGAAACTAACTTGTCAAGCGCGCACGTCCGAATGCAACGAGCTGAGATCTGAGACTGGTCATATCTTGGCCAAATAAAGCCCGATTACGGTCAAAGAGCGATGGGCTACTCGGGGAGGTTCACAGAAAACGCCAAGAGCAACGGCGAAGTTATGTCGCGTTGAAACGTCATATCTCCATGATTTTTTTAGATCGGCGGAGCTATGTCGC